AGTGCTGGTCTGTATATGCCCTTTTTCCAATAGTTCTCTCACTGCTTTCTCAATTTCCAGCTTCTGGAAGTAAGGGTATCTATATGGCCTCACATTGGCCGGTTTAGAACTTGGTAAGAGAGGTATCTGATGATCATGAGCCCGGGGTGGAGGTAATTGGTTCGGCTCCTTGAATACATCGCCAAACTGATTGAGTATCGATCGTAAGGCCTCGTGTTGGGCTCCTGTGGGGTGGACACAACCCTAGTTGTCCAGAATTGGGATTGTGGGCCGGATGCCTAAGTGCATAAATAAGGGTTGTCCAGCATCCTTGGAGGCCCGTATCATGGAGGCTAAAGTGTCACCTTGGGGACTAGGGGGCCGCACCCCTTGTAAATGACAAGTCTGGCCATCTTGGTGAAAATCCATAGTCATTTTGGCCCAATCACATAGAGCAGGGCCCAGGCCACGCAACCAATGAATCCCAAAATAATATCAGCCCCCAAGAAATCCAATGGGTGGAGATCCACCACGAAATTATGGCCCTGTATGAGGATTTTTTCCTTCTTACATACACCATTACATGACATCTGACTCCCATTAGCCACATGGATCGAAAAGAGAGGAGTGGGTTGTATAGTCATACCTAGTTGCTTTGCCAAACGACAAGTGATGAAATTCAGGGTAGAGCCACTGTCAATCAAAATCATCACGGTCTGGCCAACCAATCGTCCTTCTACTCGCATGGACTGAAGAGAGTTGAGGCCCATGAGGGCGTGTAAGGAGATCTCGGCCCCGTTAGGTTCTGGTCCGTCTGAAATCAGTTCACAGTCATTTAAGTGCTCTAGTTCTGTCTCTTCCGGTTCTTCTTCTGTCTGTAGGAGAAACACCCGCTGGACCCACATTTATGGCTCGGTCCAAACTTATCGTCACAGTTATAACAAAGGCCTTTCTCGCGTTGGGCCTGCATCTCAGCCCATGAGAGACGTTTGAAGGGCATAGTGGGTCGGGGCAAGATGGGCTTCTGATGATCCCCAACCTGTTTCATGGGCTACTGATCGACCCGTAGAGGAGTCCTCACATTCGGGTAGGTCGGTCTGTTGGCTCTGCGTAGGTTGTCAATTTTTTCTTCTTGCAGGCGAGCCAATCCCACCGCAGCCATGACAGTCGCCGAACGGAGAGCCCTCACCTCCAGACGGATATCCTCTCTGAGGCCTCCCACAAAACATCCTACTAAGGCTTTCTCCGGCTAGTCGGTGTACCCTGGTCGCCATTCGCTCGAACTCGAGCTGGTACTTTGCTACCGTTCCAGTTTGCTTCAATCGAGTGATAAGCTCGTCGTAGTTCACGAACGCCATCAGCCCAAAACGGATGCACAGAGCTTTAGTGAACTCCGCCCAAGTTACCTGGGGATGATTTTGGCAATACCACTAGAGCCATAGAATCGTGTCTCCTTCTAGATGAATGGAAGCGATGGAGACACGCTGGTGTGCGGGAGTTTCGTGGTATTCGAAAAATCTTTCTGCTTTGAAGATTCAAGGAATGGGATCTCCACTGGAATAGTTGGGAAAGTTGATCTTAGTGACTTTTCCGGTGGGGTAATACCCTGTCCTTTGGCTGCTGAAAGCAGAGGCTTCCGCTCCTGCTGGGTCACTGGTCTTGCCGGATTGTTGCTGAGAGGCAAAGCTTGAAACGACCACTTTGAGTTCCCTGAGTTCATTCAACACCTGGTGGAATCCAACCTCAAGTTGGTCGACCCTATCATCCATGGTAGAGGAACGTGTCAGTGGCATCGTGAAGCCTGTGATCTGGATAGCCTGGCTCTAATACCAATTGATGAGTTACCTCTCACGTCGGAAGCCCCTTCGAGGGTGGCTTAACCTCTTGAAACAGAAGATGAAGGAGAGAAGAGAGGGAAGGGTAGGAAGAAAATGACAGAGAGAGAAAGAGAGATAAAAGAGATATTCATTCACACTGCTTATTACATGATCATGGCCTTATATAGCTGGCCTACATGTGTGCAATCATGGAGAGAATATCTTCTGGTGGCAGTGTAACTAACTCTGAAAGGCTCTGAGTGTAACTAACTCTGGGGGCTCTACCGCGTGTCACACTACCCTTTCTGCCTTCTAGTGAAATACTGATTGGTGGTGGTCTGCTCCACTCCCATAGTTGGGTACAGAGGGAGTGTTTGGGTTCCAACAGAAACAGACTCCAAAAAACTGCTAGTAGCTTTTCCAAATTCCAAAGAAGCTTGTTCACCTATTTTCACCTTACTTTGCTTATATGCCGTCCAGGTGTGGCTCTCACAAAGCCAAAAGCTGCCATGGGAAAGTCCTCCCAAATGGGCACTTAATAATTTTACCCAGGATGGATTTTGTTTCAATCTTGATGCTGAAAACCGAATAAAAGCTTGACTCTGGCCCATGAAAGTGTATGGCACGATAAACCACAACTCCATTAGAGGATCAGGATGGATCATCGCGGTGCGTCCCATGATGCAGAAAATTACTAGAGGCATCATCTCAGTTGTATGTTTTCACTTCCTAGATAAGAAAACTGTGAAACAATGCAGAATTGAGATGTTTAAAAAAGTTAATTGGTCATACTGATTTTTCATGTGGGTACACACTGTTAAATGGGACTGATCCATTGCAACTTTTAAACCGCACGTTATGGAAACTCCAAGCTGCACTTGATCGTTTTCTATGTTATGATTTTAAGAAAACTTGGTTGTACCATTGGTTTGAAAATTGAAAACACACTATTTTTTCAAAACAAAAGAGCACATCAACTATGTTCTTGGTTTTTTTCTTTTGTTTTTTTTTTTTTTTTGTGTGCGCTTTATTTCATCTTTAAACGTGTTTTTTAATTTCTCGTTTCAAGAACATGATTTCTTGCAGTGGATTGATAGGGCTCAGTTCATCTTTCTTTATTTTATTTCTTTTCATTTTTATTTGTACTTTGGATCATTTTTTTTAAAATGTAGGTTTATATGATCTGTAGAAACTATGAATTTTACAACAGTGCTTGTAAGACGGTTTATAGGAGATTCTTCATTCTAGACGCAACAAAGTGCATGGTCCACATCAGCCTAAAGATGAAAGCATAATTTTGCTTTTGAAAGTATTTTGTTTGTTTGAAGAAATATTTTTAAAACCAACCTAGAAGCAGTACTGCTTTAAGAGGATGTCTAGATCAAATATATCAACTTATGATGTCATAAATTAAATAAAAAATATAAATAAAAATTACAAAAAAAAGTCAAAAATTAAATTAGAAATGCCTTAAATGTTTTATTGCACTAAACAAAAGTAAGGCCATGTTTGGGAGTGCTTATTTGGGCAGGGGTTGCACCATTAGGCACTTATGGGTGTTTGGGAAATAAGCCCGAAATAAGTGTTTATTTTAAAAATAATGACTTATTTTTTAAGCCCAAATTTCCAGTTTTTTTAAGTGCTTATACAATAAGCACTTATTCAATTTTTTTCTTCCAAAATTATCCCTAGATGAATTTTAAAATACCACTTGTATAATTATCCCCAGTTGAATTTTATAAAAATACTTCCGTAATAGTGTTTTTATTAAAGTGCTTTTGTGTAAAAATATTTTCATAAAAATACTTTTATAAAAGCACTTTCATAAAAATGCTTTTATTAAAGTACTTTTGTAAAAGTGTTTTCATAAAAGTGCTTTTATAAAAGTACTTTCATAAAAGTATATTTTGAAAAAAAAAATGAAGGACAAAATAGTCACAAATGCTTAGCTTATCGGAGAAAAAGACTACCAAGTGCCCAATATGAAATAAGTACTTTTTTTTTTTAAATAAGCACTTGAAAAAGTTGGATGCCAAATACAAACAAGTATTTATTCGAATAAGCACTAGTTTTTAAGTACTTATTGTTTACATAAGCACTCCCATATATGGCCTTAAGTGTGACGAATGAAAATTATTGACCAAAAAAAAGTTAATAAATATCTGGCTCATGACCTGCTGACCAGTCTAACCAGCAGGTTTAACACGGGTTGAAAACATTAGTTTCAGACTTTCAGAGCAAAGAATAAGGCTTTTCCAAATCAAATTAAAAATGTTTTCAACTTACTTTTCTTTTTTCCTTTTGGCATGAGAAAGAGCATTAGAACTCATCTCCATTCTTCAGCGGTGATTTAATCATCCTTTCCTTTAGATAGGACCTACGTTACTATTAGACACTTGTCTTTATCAGAAAGTAAAGAAAAAAAGAGTTAACAACTTCTAAGAAAAATCGTAAAGCAATTTTAAACTCAGACCAGATTGAAGGGTTCAAAAATGTTTGTACACCTTAATACGACGGATTAGGTGTATCGATACTATATATCTTAACCGGTCTTAACAAGGCTACCCGTAAAAACGCAGGCCAGTGCATGAGTCTGGTCTGAGGAGGGATAGATGTATGCAACCTTATCCCTATTTACAGATATACGCAGTCTATCCCTTTATAACATTAAACTAAAATTACGTTTGACACATCTTTTCATATGATCTTTTGGTTGTTTATAATTCAAATAGTCAAATTTTCAGTCTATTTTCGTTTAGCACATAAAAGATCTAACTGCCAAAAGCCGAAATACCGAAAAGACACGAAAAAACCCATTTTAGGCTGATTTTGGAAAGCTCCAAATGAAGCTTTTTGCGTCTTTCACGGTTTATTCTCGTGGAATAACGCATAAAAAACGCACTTCTGCTAAACATGCTTCAGGCTGCTCAGATCTTCATGCAAAACCCAGTACTTCACACATACTCAATACATGACAAACTTTGGGCTAATAACGGTCCATTGGACCTACCGGGACAGGCCCAACCCTGGATGATTTACAATATGGGCCTAGAATTTCCAGCCCGTTGGTCAAAACTTGTGGCCCATTCCAACCTGGATTGGGTTCGTTTGCTAACGGGATTCTCAACGTCCAGCTACATGCTAACATGCGTGGCATTTGTAAAGAGACAGGTTATTGGGTTATGATTCGTTGACATTTCACACTGATCATAGGAAACCTGTACATACTGTTTTCTCTAACAAATTGCTTTACACATAAATGGTAGTTAAATTACTTTTACACACAAATATACAGAATGGGCAGGGGCAGCTGGTGGTTGTTAGAGAGCCCCAATTTGTAGCGTCTTTTGTGAGGAATGACTGCATAGAGCTGGATTGACCATGAACTCGTACCTATTCTGATTGCCACAATATTTGAAATTCCTCAGAGTACCTTCCCGTCTAACAGTGACAAGACTCGCATCCTGTTTCATGACACCAGAAGGTGAATCTTGATACTGATTCATTTTGTTGGTTAAAGTTCTGAATTCATCAGTACAAAAGAGAATATTACATTCAGAATTTCCAGAGAAATGCTACCAGACGCAAGTTGTTGATAGTTGATGAAAAATAAATGGTTGTTGATGGATTTATTTCTCAGTAAGGCATCATGCAAATAGGCCAAAACACATGCATATTGGCGAACACCTCCTAATTGACCCAGGAATCTTCCATGTGGCAAATTGTTTTGGACATCAGAAAGGATTCCTTGCATTCCTCTTCCTACACTATATAATGGAAGTGTGGAACAAATTTTAACCAACAAAATTCTTTCCATGGCTTTCAAGGCGCCAAGGTGAGGCTAGGCGACAGGGGGGCACCTTGTCGCCTAGGTGATGGATTTTTTTACGTAGAAAACATAGATCCTAAGGTAATTCCCTAGGTACCATAACCATATTTCCTTAATAATTATTCATAATTTTCATAAGAAAAGTATAGAGTTCATGTTAAGTATAGAAAATCAACATACTCATGAGAAGAAAAAGGAGGAAAAGAAAATTCAAAAAATATAGGGGCTGAACCCTTATTTTTTTTTATAGGAAAAGAAGAAAAGAAAATAGTAGTAGTAGTAGTAGTAGTAGTAGTAGTAGTAGTAGAAGTAGAAAAGAAAACATGTTGATTGGACAAAATTTTAAGTTCTTCCTTACTTATTGGTTCAGGTTTTGAAGTCTTTGAGGATTCAATTCGGCATTTAGCAATGTTTATATTGATTAAATCCTAACAAATAAGAAAATAAAAAAAAGAAATTAGTATATAAACACACAAAATGAATATTTTAGTTTAATAGTGTCTATTTTATAATTATAATGTCAAAAAATAAAGAATAAAAAAGTATTTTATAATACATAGTACAAA